AGAGAGAGAGAGAGAGAGAGAGAGAGAGAGAGAGAGAGAGAGAGAGAAACGTCGTGTGTTAGGGGTCTAATGGCTTGGCTCCTGGTCATGTTTCTGACTTGCTGTGACCCATCTGTGTTGGTTTGTTGGTGTGTTTGCTCACCTGAGTGCTAGAGTCCTTGGCAAATGAAACTTTCTTCACTCAGATCCAAGGCTGCTAACAAAGACAGCAACACTTGCCCTGGGGGTAATCCTGAAGACTGTAGCCCACATCCTTTGTGCTTCCTGTCTTTTGCCTTTCCACTATCTAGTCTGTGGAAGGGTTGTAAGCCATAGGCAATGGGACCTCTGCCTTATTTCCTGTTTACTGATAACCCACAACAGATAACTGCTGTGGGCAAAATGAGCAGAGACGAAGGCCAGCAGAAAACAGGGTACTGGGAAAGACCAAACCAGTGAGTCATCCTTAACAGAGCTGTGGAGTTAGAAATGCAAAGAGCGACAGTACAAGGGATAGATGTTCATTTCCCAGAGGGACAGGATGGAGAGACAAGCCACAGGAGGAAGGAAGAGGGTAAAGTAAGACAGGCCATGGATTGGCAATCATGAACCCAAGTAGCCCTACGGGACATAAAATGGGTTGAGGTTGAACCAGAATCCCAGGCAATCAAGTGCAAAGCAGTCACCCTCAATAGCCTAGCAATTACAAGTAGGGATGATACAAGAGCAGCAGCGTGGGCCTCAGTTTCTCTGTCTGTTAACATAGAGACAATGCAGCCCTTGTCTCAGGCTTGTTATGAAGATTAAGTGAAAACTGTTTGCAAAGGCCATAGAGCCAGGCCTTGACACAGCAGGTGTCAACGGTGAGAGTCATGCCTCGGACCTTAAGGAAGTTAGAGCAAAGGGAAGTAGAGACCAAACTGCCTCTCCTCTGGCCTGCAGGGTCCCAAAGAAGACAAAGGGGGGGTACAGGGAGGGGGGAACCCACAGAGTCACAGTCACCTCAGATCAAACCAGGACAGGAGGAGCGAAATGGCAGAACCACTCCTCTCTGAGTCTATCCGTGGCTCTGTAACTCTTGGACAACTCAGTTATCTCTGAGCCTTTTGTTCCTCCTTTTTTAAATCCATGAGAGTGGAATGATCACAGGAGGGCGTTAGCGTGATTACCCCGTGAAGACACTGGACGACAACTGTCTAGAGCGCTGTGCGAAAGAAGCAACTCTACACCGCCAAATCTAGCAACGTCCAGGCTCCACAGGGCGATAGGCAGGGAAGACACTGGGAATCTGGGGACTGATAAAGGAAACTCGTGATGGGGCGAGGCTGAGCTGAAGAGAAACAGATTGGGGTAGAGCTGCGCAGGGAGGGGGTCTGGTGGAAGGGAGTGAGAAAGGGTGGGGGACCAGAGAGTTGGGAGGCCACAGCATAAAATAGTAAAGCAGACTTGGGGCACAGGGGCGGGGGTGAGGAGAGGTATCCAATCAGAACGGGAAGGAACTTGGGTGGAAGAGGTCCTGAAGACAATAGGAAAGAAGAAAAAAGGAAGTACGGGTGCAGAAGAGGGAGTCAAGCCCCTAAGGGGCCAGAGAAGTGTGAGATCCCACGAACGAGAAATGAAGCAGCTGGAGCAAGCGCCAGAGATTGAGGTCTGTGAGGGGAGAGCCTGGGGCCTGCAGGGGAGCGCGGCAGCTCTGAGCTCGGGTCCAAACTCAGAAGACTGGTGGCCTTTGCCTGACCTCGAAGGTCGGGAATAGACGCGGGTCTTTGTGGAAAGCAGCATCCTACCGAGAGGATGGGGCTGTGAAGGACTGGCCCCTGCGCCTGGCTTCCCGGGCTCAGGGCTGAACCTTGAGGGAGGTGAGGGGGTGCTAACCACCCGCTAGGAATGTAGGGCAGCGAAGAGTGGGTGCCACTACCGGGAGCCAGGGCGCAGCCTGCGGCAGAAGCACCCTCTTCGAGCCAGCCGCCGCCGCTGCCGCTCCCCGGGTCCCTGGATAGCCTCACCACCGACTCCTCGGAAAGTTCGGGGAGCTGGCGGGGACTGACGGTCCGCGGCGAAGGCGGAGAAGGATTGGTGTCCCCGCCCTTGCCAGCCCTCCCCTGGTGCTGCCTGAGGGCACCGGCTCCCCAGCCCTGGGACAGCGGCGCTCGATTCCTGCTCGCCCAGCTAGCGCTTCGGACCCCGCGGGGGGCTCCCAGCTCTGACCTCGCACGCGTCCCTCGGGGCCACTGCGCCTCGCCACCACCCCAGCGCACCGACACCCCCCACTCCACACCTCCTGCCCGCACTACCCGCCGCCCTCCCCATCCCCGCAGAGCTGCTCTCCCCTCCTCTCCCCACCTCCCAGCGAGGGGCGGGAGGGGGCGTGGCAGGGCCTGGATTTCTGTAGCTGCTACCCGGCTCCCCGCACTCGGAGTCTGCAGGAGGAACGCGGCCCCCGCCGCTGTCCAGCCGCTCCGTGCCTTTCGCGCCCGGCGCAGCCGCTGCTGTCGCCGCCGCCTCGCCGAGAAACTCAGCCACTCGCTCGCCATGGACACTCCTAGGGTCCTTTTCTGGGCGATCTTCCTCATCAGCTTCCTCTGGGATTTGCCGGGTTTCCAGCAGGCTTCCATCTCCTCGTCCTCCTCCACCGAATTGGATTCCACCAAGGACGTGGGGAACCGCAAAGAAGGGAAGATGCAGAGGACTCCACAAGAGAGTGCGGAGGGCCGGACGCCCCAAGAGCACCGGCCGCGGCAGAACGAGCTCCGGCGGCGGCCGCCTGGACAATCTCAGGGGCAGGAGTCGCCGGGCAGGGGCCCGCGCGTGGTCCCTCACGAGTACATGCTGTCAATCTACAGGACTTATTCCATTGCTGAGAAGCTGGGCATCAATGCCAGCTTTTTCCAGTCTTCCAAGTCAGCTAATACGATCACTAGCTTTGTAGACAGAGGACTGGGTAAGTGGCAAAGAAAGCTCCTGACTCTTCTCTGGTTGGAGCTCCTCAACCAGAGCGCTGCCCCGGCTCTGGCAAGGGGCTGCTTTTGTGAATTCCCTTCGCATTCTGGACACCTCCCCCCGCCTTTTTTTCTTTTTCTCAAGCCCCAAATTCGGAGTGCAGCTGCAGCTTTTGCGCCAGTCTGCAGTCCTCCCCTACTTTGTTACTTTTTTCTCTCTTTTCCTTTCATGTTTTCTCTTACGTGCATCGCCGCGGCCACTGGTCTGGTAGCTAGCAGAGGAAGCGTAGAGGAAGACAAGTGGTGAGTAACTGAAGGGAGATAGAGAAGAGTCAGGGAAAGGACTGAGAGACCCTGGCTCCAAAGCTTGTGAGGGTCGCGGGCCCTAGAGCATCCGTGAGAGCTTTAGAGAGCCTCCTGTCTCTCAAGGAAAAGCCGGCACAAGGTAGTCAGTCGGCCAAGTCTAGTATCGGTGTCAGGCAGTGCCTAGATCCAGCAGCACTGTGGGTTAGCCCAGAGTCCTGCGCAGAGTGTGGGGGAACATCAGACAGGTGGACACCCAGTGCCTTGCGGCACCGTTTTTGTTTTTCTTCCTAGCACACCTGATAGTTTTTCAGTCACCGTCCACGGGGTGAGCTGAAACTGGGACCGCTAAAAGCGTGAGATTGTTGGGACTTACAGAACTACAGAACGATACTGAGAAAGGTAGAAACCTTTCTCAGCCATACCACCCTTTTCTCTATAAGCATCTCGGGGACCTAACCCTCATCTCCTGTGCCAGACAGGATGCACTCGCGTCTATAGGATTCTGAGTTCCCAACTCTTGCTGTTATCGCTGATCCAAAGTATGAGCAGTGTCTTAGGGAAATCTTCAGCTACTGGGGAAAGTTTCACAGGGTTCTAGAGAGGAAAAGTAATTCAGAAAAAGCAAGAAAGGAGAGAAAGAGGAAAGGACAGTAGACAGAGGGGAAGGTATAGAGAAGGTAGGAGGAGCTTCCCCTACTCCCAGACTTAGCTGTTCCTAGACCCACAGGTTCGGGTTCAGTGAAAACTACCCAGAAACTCAAGAGCCTCCGGGATTGGGCAGAGGGAACTGGTCAGCTACAACTATCTACCTTGATTGCTTGCACATTCTCTAACCTTTCCAGAGTAGGCTAATGTCCCCCTCCCCCACCTGCCCCAAGTCCTATTCAATCTCCAGCCTCCAGCCTTCCCTCCAAGCTGCTTTTCTTCGCAGCCAAGGTTCTGGGCCCAGCCAGCTTTCAGCTACAATCCGAGGTCAGCTGGGTTAGGAGCTGCTGAAAGATCCCGATGGCAAATTAATGCCGCCGTATTTTAGGACGATTTTAGGAACAATAAAGTCATCTTTACAAAGACACGTGGCTTCTTCGTTGCTGCTACTAGGTCTTGAACCTGGGCACTCTAGTGCAGCGCCAACTTCTTCCTACCGCACTGCAATGCAGTTTCTCTACCAGTAACTTCTCTGTTAACCTCCTAGCATCTCTAATACTGTCGCCAAAAGAGAGGTGACGGAAGGTCAGAGGACACTGTTTAAGGGAAGAAATCCTAGAGGCCTAGGCTGTCAGGCAATTGGATACGTTTTTCTTTTCCTTGGAAATGGCAAGCTCTCCCATCTTAAGCCAGGCAGACACCCTTATTGGTTCACTACTCCCTGAGAGTTCCTAGGCACAGCACTAAGGGACAGTGTGGGCTATTCCAAGGTATCTAGAGGAGACTTTGGAATTTCAGAAAGCATGAAAAGTTGCCTGTATCTGGGGTCCTAAGACCTTGCTTAGACTCCAGCACCCATCAACCCTTGTTTGCCCTGCAGCGCCCACACACCCTAGAGCCAAGGCACCATGCTGGGAACCCACCCACGGGTTCTTCGAGAAGGAGCACAGGGTAAGGTTTGGGGAAGGGGAAGAACACTGTTCCCTACCCATGGTCGTAAAACTAGGAAGACAGTGGATTCAACCTCAGAAAGAGTTGGGACAGGGCTGCCAGAGATTCCTAGTCAGAGGAGACGCGGCAGGAGCATCAGACCGGGACCGCAGCTCTAAAGGCTCTGTCTCCACCTCGCTCGCCAAGTTCGAAAGAAAACTTTAAGAGGGCAGCTGGGATACTTAGAAGGCTGAGATGTTAGTCTCAAGCCTCACTGGTGTAAAGAAGCTCGGAGGAGGGGGGTGCAGAGAGGAACTGGAGGAGCGTGCGGAGGAGGGGCTGTATTGCTGGCTGCAGCCCCAGCTTGATAAAGGGAAAACCTCACTTTCCCTCTCACTGATTTTGATTTGATGTGTCACCGGCGGTGACCTCGGGTTGGACCTTCCGGGGCTTGCTTAGCATTGGGCCCCTGATTGGAGTGTTTCGACTCAGCGATCTAATTGAGGGTTCATGTCATAACACATCAAACGGTGTCTAGTCTCCCGTGATGGAAGGGACCCACTAACCGCGCATCCTCAGCTTCTGGCGAGGACTTCCGCCCCTCTCGCGCGGGGCTTCTTAACGTGCCAAACTCTTCAGCATCCCCTCCCCCAACCCCTGAGTGGGCTGGCAAGAAAAAAAAAAAGGGCAAGCCGGGAGCTGAGCGGGTCGTGCTAAGTTGGCGCCTTGCCTAGGGGAGGTTTAAATCACCACAGAGTGGTAGGGTAGGCTGGGAGCTCAGGAGCCAGGGTCTCTCTAGGGGAGGAGCCTCGAAGCCTGTTCACATGCTTCAAGACACTCGCAGAGAATTCGTTAAAGGTCTTGCTCATACGGGAACTTTAAAGTTATACCTGAAGCTGGTCTAAGAATGGGAGGGCTGGAATAAGCAAGTGAGCGGTGGCTCCACAGAGACACCACCGGCAGCCTTCTGTACAGTCAAGAGTGCTGCTCCCTGTCCCACTCGCGAAGGAGGCTTTGAGAACGTTATTCACCCTGAAAGGGTGAATAACGGTAGCCAAGATTGATTGACCTTTTATTGTGGGCCAAGTACTGTGCTAAAAGCTATGATGACATGAATGAGCTCGTTTACGTCTCAGCTACTGTTACTGCGTTGCTTTAGAGGTGAATTAAGAAAGGCAGAGAAATTAAGTTGCTCAAGGTCACACTACTTGTGAGAGGTGAGACTGGCGTATGAGTCTAGACTGAATGATAAACACTGTATGTGCGGATGGGATAAGGACAAGAAGTTTCTAAGAAGTATGTTGAGATGCTGAAGTTTTTACAAAAGGTAAAAGTGAGATTTCCTTTCTGGCTTGATGTGGTACTTAAACACCCAATTAGTAGTTCTGGAACTTGGATGCAAGGTCTGAATATATGCCGTGCCCGGCTTTCTCTTGTGTTTATTTAGCAGAGGCACAAACTACTTTATGCATGATCTTTTTAACACGTTTAACACGTTTTCATGCTGTGCCTCAAAAATTATTTTAGATAGGTAGAGATGAGAAAGTGTGTTTGTATGTGTTGATGGGGAGCTGAGATCACAGGATCGGAGTGAACCAGGTTAGATATGAAATTACAAAGACCCTGGACTCCCAGTCAGTCAAGAGGGGGTGGGGAGGGAGATTAAGATTGAGAGAGAGGTCCTGCTTTGCAATTTATCTGGTAAGTGCCAAATAATTTTATATATATATATATATATATATATATATATATATATATGCATCAAAGATTAGAGAAAGAAACAAATTGAGTCTAAGGTTACTTCTGTGGGTTGGGTTTCCCAGAGACTTTGAAGTAAGAACAGTTGTTATTGTGTTGTTGATACAAGTCTGCTTACAGGAAGAAGACAGCAAAGAACAGATAACACCAAAGAAGAGGGGAAAGCATCCTTTGGAGCTGGGTGCCCTTAGAATCCAGTCAGGGAGAGTCTGCTCTTTATCTTCGTTCAGAGATTACAAAGAGGCAGAAGTATGCTAGAGATAGACAGGCTTTGGAGAGAGGAGGACGATCTAGTGCTTCATAGTTTCCTGCTATTGGAGTTTGCCTGTTACATTGTGTTTATGCGGAACAGTGGGTTTCTGCCTGGAGTAATCAACAGGGCAGTGCTAGCACTTTTGCCTGTACCCTGTTGTCGTTGGCAAACGGAAAATGAAATATAAGCAGGGAAGTATTTTAATGGGGACGGGGGGAATTCGCAACTGTTAATTATTTGGTGACCTTGTATTCGATTTGTTTGAGTCCCTTATAAAAACACTAATTCATACCAGACGGCCAAGTGAGGAAGCTGGGCAGAAGGTTCCAATCTAGGCTTTATTTCCCCGGAAAGAGAGAGCAGCCTTGGAAGGGGCTTGCTAAGCGTGCAAGTGAGTGTGTGTGAGGGATGTGGGCAGGGGACTGGGTATAGAGCTAGCTTTGTGGTTCAGGCTGAAGGATCTTCCTAGTTGGGTTAATTGGAGGTTCTAGGGAAAGCCCTGGGTAGGACAAGGAAGTATTAAACTCCAAAGTTTGTGCACTCTTGTAGTTGGACAATGATTCAGGTACATTTAAGACCATAAACCAGTTCCCAAACCTATAAGCTTGAGGCTCAACACCAGTTGCTGTCTTTGGATTTTTAAGAGGCAACAAAAGGGAAAAGGTAAGATGCTAATAAGACAGGGAATCTCTCCTGTAGTCAGACTGCAGGTTTCAGGAAGAGTCTTAGCCAGGAAGGCTTATCTGAGGACATCAAAAGTTATCCTCTTCTCTGGATTTGGAGCTTTTGCCCAGGGTGTAATCGCTAGTGGGGGAGGGGAAGGAAAACGTGCTCAAACACCCCTTTTGTTTTTGCACATTAAGAAAAACAAAATTCATTCGAGCCACAGATCCCAGATCCTGTGCACTTTGTGAATTCTCCCTTTCCTAAATGAATCAGGATGGAAAAGTCATCTGTCTGACAAGAGAGCATAGGTATCCCAGGATCCTCTGGGAACTCAGGTCTTTCATGGAAAGGAACTTGATTCCTCCACCTGGCGTTCTTGGGTACTACCACACTTCTTCCATAGTCAGGGATCTTCTAGGGTCTTTGTTTTTGTGGGGGTGATGG